GAGGCTGGGCAGAGAATAGAAGTCGCCTCCCTCCCCAGTCTGATTCTTTCAGGCAGTCACTGGACAAGGCTGCAGAGAAGCAGCTGACAGGGGCTGGTCCTGCCTTTCCCACTGTCGGTATCTGGCCTGGGCCATGTGTTGCCCAGATCTGCTTCCTGCTTCTGCCTCCTCCTGCTAAGTGCCTCCTACCTGTTTGGTGGTGTGCCAGAGGTCCTGGAGGGGAGGAGAGGGATGAGCTGATTGGTGGGGGCCTGCCACTGGTGGGAAATGTGTTTGTGGGGGGCACCAGTGGGTGCTCAAGCAAAAATCATCCATGGAGTAGGAGCCTATGATGCTGATACTGCAGACCCTATTTTCCTATGGAAAATATTCTGCTATTCAGCTTCATTTTTTTCACTCATTTTAATCCACTGAGTCCCACTGACACTTAGTCCCTCCCTCCAGCCCTGAACAATTCTTTTCTTCCAGAGTTTCCTATATACATCCTATACTTGTAAATGGTTCTTGCCTCTGTCATCAGTCATAATTTGGCCCAGGAAAACATATACACTGGAGTTCATATAGTACTTCCTGATGAGTCAGTCCTTCAAACCTTTCATCATTTTCATTGCTCCTCCTCAAGTTTCTTTCAGCTTGCTGGCATGTCTGGTATTGAAATACTCATGGTCTCAATGGTTTACTGGCAAGATGGGAATAAAGGAGTGATGTCGAGTGGCGCTGATAAGTCTGAACTTTGCTTTCTAGGCTGAAACACACAACAGGAGCAATTGAGTCCACTGGATGCTGTTACAACCAATATATTTTTTCTCATTTCAGGAGCAGGACCCAGTGAGCTTCCTGCTAATTCTCAGGCCAGAATGATTGCACTGGGCGCTCATTGTACACATGGTTTCTTTGGAGGGAAGAGCAAACCTATCAAGGTCTGATCCAATGCATGTTGAACCAATCAAAAAGCTCTCATTGATTAGGATAGATAAGTCTTCCTTTCTGATAGATGATCCCTTCTTTATATCAAATATCACAGTGGTATTCAATATCCAGTCCCAAAGAACCAGTCACTGAACCCACATCAATTGCATCTTAGATTTCATATCACAGACAATGTGTTTAGCCAATCCTATAGGAACCCACCTAATGATTTATTAACTAGAAAAAGGAAATGAGAGTTATTTACAAGGCTAAAGCCAGTAAACATATAAACACAAATGAGTTGCAGTTTTAAGTTTGCAAGGAGCCTCTATAATAAATAAGCTTTATGTGACCTTTACTGAGGCCAAGTACTTGAGATCTTTTGCATATGCTCAGTAATCCTTGAACTCAGAGTCCAAGACAAGAAGTATAAAATATACAGTTTCTTTTTGTTGTGCTTTTTATTCTTTCTCCCTTCAGCTTCAAGCTGCAAGTTCAGCTTCTGGGATGAATTCAGCTGCATGTGTCATCTTCACAGGGGTTGGGTGATGGGGAAACACTCAACAAAGTCTTTTTGTCCTCTGATGTTCCACAGTGGCTTGTCTCATGTTAATGGGCTGTCTTTTGTTGGGCCTTTCCTGTGGCAAACTAGTAATTCATACTTGTTAATGCGTCTTTCCTGACTGGTGATTTGCAGTTGTAGAGCAAACACCTACATTTTACCTTTATCATGTGGGATACAGATATTAGAAGTGAGATCAATGCATGCAACAACTTACAAACATTCTATAATGTTTATAATTATAATACTTATTACTAACACACAGCTAGGTATTTGTCAGTGTTTGAGAACTAAGGCCCTTGATATAAGCTAGCAAAGTGATGGACAACATAGGCTAGTGAGTGGTCCACATGAGTGGCCCACCTTCTTTTAGGTGGTCTGCAATATTGTCGTAACCAAGATAGTCTCCTGAGATAGGTAGTTTTGCAACTTGTGTACCTAGATTTTGTGGGATGTGCTGAGTGAATCACAGCAGCTCTTTGACTGGATGCAGAGGGAGCACACAACTCTCACAGTCAATGTTGTGTGCAATCAGCAAACACTTCACTTCACATACCCTTGTTTTGTGTGCAATGCCAGTAGGAAAAAAACTACACAGATGGAAACCAGAAGAATCTGGCAATGCTGCACATAGACAATGGCACATAAAATGTCTTGTTGACTCCATATAGAACACCGATGGGCCCTATATAGCCTACTTGGGATCTTGAGCTAGCACTTGGCTTCCCAGGGTCGCAGCACTATCCCAAGCTAGCCCTTTAGAGCACTCTTACATCTTTTTACTACAAAGCTTTCTGAGCTGAGAAAGAAAGAGTAATTGAACGGGCTTCAAAATAGGACCCAGTTCTTTTCAGATAGAGCTTATATTAATTTTTAATATTCCATCTGTAATCAGGAGACAAGAAGGACCTTTGGTTCTCAACACAAATCTTTTTGAGCACACTTATTTTCCCTTGGTTAGTTCTGTGGTGCTCAGACTTCTACAATTTTTTAATCATTTTAAGAGCGAGAGAATCTTCACGCATGGATCCAATCTCACTTCCCAATAAATTTTTTCAGAATGACTCCAACAACCTTCTCAGTCCTACATTTTCCTAAAACTGACAGTAACGTAGTGTCCAGCCTTCTCCTGCAACACTCAGAGAGGTTATTAAGTTTGCTGCCCCTATAAAGAGCCAATGCAATCTAGACAAAGCCTCTTTATATGTATTATTACCTAATATCTCTTCAGTGTCATTCAAAGCACATCCTGCATCATTTTGCAGCATGGCTTATCCTCTAGTGTTTGTTCCTCTTCCCAGTTTGGTGTCATTGATAAATATGATTGCAGATGTATTTTCGCCATAAAGAAATTTTACCCAACAAAGAAAAAGACCTTTCAAGAGACTTTATTTCTTATGCATCAGACAAATAGGCAGACAAGTACAAGAGAACTCTGACTGGCACCCCATGGGGCTTTATCAGTAGACTGACTGACATATAGACAATGGAATCTTTCAAAGATGATAAGACAGTCTTCTGTTTTAATTACATGCTTCAGCACTATAACAGAATCAGCTCTGTGGACCACCTGGAAGTGGGTATAAGAACCTCATTTTGAGGGTCATTGATTTAGTTAATCTGTGAACAGCTGGGGAAGAATGCAAAACAAAATATAATTATCACCATAGGATTTTATTGAGTTTAAGTGAAATGGAGATCTTTTAAGGGGTTTATTTTGGTAAATGTATTTTTTGTTATTGCATTTATCCAGAAAAAGCCAAAAATCTTCTGATCCTCACATAAAGCGTGCCTTCTTCTCCTAGTTTCCTTTCTAATATGTGAGAAAATTCAGGGGAGGAGAAATAGGGGGGAAAGTAACAAAATTAAGGGGTTAATGTTACATTTTAAACTCACTGCAGAAAATCTAATTTTTATAGTGTGACTAGACTAAATTGCTCTGAGGATTTCTGACAGAACACTTATCCTTTTGCCATTAGCAAACTTATTCAAATATGGGTTCAGGTCGATAATGATAAAAATAATTACTAGTTGACAGATTCAGAGTCATAATTGAGATGAGTAGATGATTTTAGTCCATAATCCATTAGAGGTAAAAATTCTAGGGTGCAATTTAGGGAAAGCATATTTTTACACTCCTCTTTTTCTAATACCTTTTTATTTTAATCCATAAATTAAATTTCAGTTTCGTCCTCCGCTACAGATGCTCATATGCAGTAACTTCTAAGCCTCATACAATATCATGGATCATAAAGGAAGATAAACACAATGTTGAGATAAACGTTGCTGAGGGTAATATTTGCAGAGAAAAAAATCCAGCCTTCTTAAATAACGTGAAAACAATGAGGAGGTCTATGGCACCTTAAAGACTAACAAATTTATTAAAGAATAAACTTTCATGAACTGCATCTCACTTCATCAGGTGCATGAAATGGAAGCTTAAGTTTGGCAGGGATTTATACATACATATAGAGCTAGGAGTGTTACATCCGTGCTTAATGAGGCTAATTCAGCCAAGGTGGAATTAACTATTTCAAGTGCCTATTCAGAACCATTATGATGGTGCAAGTTTGCATATGAATTCCAGCTCAGCTAAGTTTCACACTGCAGTCTGTTTTGATGATTTTTTTGAGAATAACCACTTTTAAGTCACTTTTATCACAGTGCTGCTGCTTTGAAGTAGCCCTTCTTCTCCTCCCCCTTTGCTGACTCTAGCTGATGGGGGAGGAGGCGAGCGACTAGTTGACTCAGCTATCCGATAACATTTGCTTATTGACAAGTCCACTAGTCCTTAACATCTTTAGTTTAGGGGAGGCCAGAGCCCGTGGCTAGCTGGGCTATTTATTGCTTTCATCCAGCCTGCCTGTTCTGATAGGTAACCGCCCCAAGGCTCCGCATCGGCGAACGTGCCCTGGATTTTAAACGTGTCATTATTCTCGCACATGAAATATCACTTGTGGGAAGAAAGTTGCAGGACAGGAGCGCCTGGCCCGGCAGCCGCAGTCAGTCTCCGCGCGCTCTAATGTCCGACAGGCTGGAAGGAAGTTCTCAGTCCCCTGGGGAGCTGCGCAGTCCGAAGAGCAAACCCGCCCGACAACTGACCCCCGGGGTTCCCGTGGGACCCTCCCCCCCAGCTTTTACCAAACTCAAACGCCAGCCTACTGCGGGGAGGGGCTTCTCCCCAGTCTGCACCCCCCCTCCTCCCAACACTCGGGGCGGCTGTAACATGACTCCTGGCCCGGAGAGCCTGTAAAACGTGGGCATGCACTTATTTGCTTTGCACTTGGAGAGAGAGCGGCTGGGAAGCGCGAGGTGGAGAAACTCCTCCAGCAGCCAGTGCCACATCACTGGGCTGACTGCACACAAAGGGGCTCCAGCATGCTTCTGCAGCTCCTGCTGCTGCTCGGGGCCCTGGCTAGGGTCACTGAGCCAGCCCCACGCTGTGAACCCGGCCAGGAGACCTTAGGTAAGGCTAAAAACGACCAAGAGCCCCCTCCCCTTTCGTTCCCTCCCTCCCTCCAGCGCTGCTCCTGGAGCTAAGCAGGTAGGCTGGGGGTGCTCTTTGGCAGGACACACAAACTGCCAAGGCCAGTAACGTGTCTGTGTTGTAAACATGAATGGGAAGGCAGCCATCTGTGTTGCTTTGTAAGAGAGGAACAAATATGTAATGATGTCAAATGTTTCCCTGTCAGCATTTTATAGAGCGTGTGTCGCTTTGTTGGAGTACTTAGAAAGTTACAATCTGTAGGACTAGGGTGACCAGATAGAAGTGTGAAAAATTGGGACACTTTTTTGTGGGGTGGTGGTAGCAAAGTATAAGACAGAACCCCTAATCTAGGACCCTCTTAAATTCTGCTTTGAGGAACACAGTAGATTCTTCCTCTATCTAGCCTTCCTTTCCAGGAATCTGATCCTCAGATTGTTGGAAGATGAACTTTTGACCTGGTGTGTGGTTTTTGTGCTAATTTTTCTTCTTACATTTACTTTTTAGTAACATATTAAATCCTAAGTGTGAGGAATTTTATTAGAAGCTAAGTGTGTTTGATAGCTGTAAATTGTAGGGTATAAACTTTACAAAATGTGGGTAAATTAATTAAATAGATACATTTATGTGGAATAAAGGTTAGATTTATATAGAATAACTTGGTTAAAACAAATTTAAACCCTTTATTTCAGTAACTAAAGTTACACTTAAAACTGACCAGTGCTGAAAAACTTTAGTGGCCTCTAATAATCAATACAGTGTTTTGGTTTTTGTAAAGTGAGCTTAATTCTGATTTCATATAGACCAACCAGCATAAACACAGAGTAATTCTAGTGGAACCAAGAGTTACACCAAAGAAAATCAAAAGGAAAGGAAGAGGAAATGATGTCCAGTAGATTCCAATTTTAAATGGCTCATAAAAAGACATTATATGTTGTTTTATAACTGGGAATTTCTCAGAGGAGGAAGAAAGCTAACCTGGAAATGACCTAAATGTTACCCATAAAAGTTCATCTATAATTTGAATTTTTAAATATAACCCATAGGTTCTATTTTGAGGCTGAAATTGCAGTCAGTATAATTCATGGGCAATGATGCATACAAGCTGTCAGCGCAGCTTCCACAAACCTCAAAGTGAGGTCAACCATAGACTGAAGGTTTTTTTTTTTTGTATAGTGTTGCTCAAAGATAAGTATCACAGAGTATTCAGAGCTAGTTACACGAAAAGACTATATAGGATATATACAGTTTCTTTGTAGGGTTTGATTATGCTCCAATTCCAGTCACTTGGAGTTTTGCCATTGATTTCAGTGTGCCCAAGCACATTACAGAAACATAAATTTCAACTGAAAGTGCAGGCATGCAAAGCACTTTTGGAAAAGGGATGCAAATTAGACGTAGCCCTTCAGTGCAAAAGAATTACCACCTTGCTGAGCAAAAGGGGATGGTAGCCGTGGTTAGGCCCTCAGATTATGCACACCTGCATTTGTAGATGTAGGTGATGCACCTGCCCTACATAGGGCAATGCAGATAGGTGTTAGAAGTGGAAAATTAAACAGCCAATGAGTCCAAAGTACGATGACTTCTATTCATCATAGAGGATAACATGAAGGCATTGCAACCACCACTGGCAAAGAAGTAGAGCATTGGTGTGGGGTTCCAGCTCTGATTCTGCCCTTGGACTCTTTTGTGACCTTGGGGAAGTCAGTCTGCCTCCCTGTTCCTCCATTTCCCTATCTGTAAAATGGGGTTAATGATACTGACCTATATAAGAGTATTATTATTGTAATCCAGAGCAAGAACAAGACGGAATTGAGAGGGTGTGATTCCATTCTGGCACATGGCCTGTTTCCACATATATTACACCCTAGATAAATGGTATATTTCACTGCTAAGTGAATCACTTTAGCATCAGTGTCAGCAAAAATAAAAACAAAGCAGAGGCAATCTGGAAGCACATACTTGAAATTTACAGATGATTTTCTCTTGGAGTGGGTCAGTATTGCTTTGCAATAAAGCTTTGGGGAGCAAATTAATGAAGATAACATATTTACTAAGAATGGAGTATTCAAATGTACTCCGCATTGTCCTAAATCTGCACCTAATGAAGTAAATGGGAGCTTTAGCAGCATTTTA